TGGCTTGAGGTAGGATAGGACTAGTACCATTTTAGTCCCTGTCACCTCTTCGACTCTTCTGGGTGTCTTCCGTGGGTCTCCAGATGTGCTGGGAGAAGTACTTGAACTTGCCTCTTTACCTGCAGCTTCTCCAAAACTCTGCCTGGGTTTGGTTCCCTATTTTTCTCCCCCACCACAACCCCCTTCCCCAACCTTCTTATGAAAGGTGACATGGAAGAAGCTACAGGGCCAAACGCTGAGCCACCTGCCCTATTTCTAGTCTTTCTTTTTGGTTTTACTTAACTGTTTCAAAACCAAGACCTCACATGCAGAAAAAATGCACAGACAATGCAAATCAACAGAAAAACCTAAGTTTGTGTACAGGTGGCATGGTAGTATACAAAAAGATTATATTGGTATAATTTTTAAAAATTTTGTTTTCAAGTTATTTTTTCTGTTTTTTCTTTTCTTTTTGAAAGATGCACATTCTAACCTGGAGGTCAGCATTATATATGTATGTGTATGTGTGTGTGTGTGTGTATGTGTGTGTATGTTTGTATGTATGTATCTGGTTCCCTTCCAGCTCCAAGCTTCTACAACAGCCTCCATAGATTTCTTTCCTCCTTTTCCTCCTCTGACCCAGGAACTTCTGGGAAGGCCTACGTCACTTGCTCTGTTCGTAGGGTGACTGGACCCAGGTGGGACAGCTGCTGCAGCTCCTGCCTGCTTACCCAGGTGGGGTGGGTTCTTTGGGTGATGGGGGCGAGGCCCTGCTGACTTGTGTATGTCGGATAGATATATAAAAGCCAGTTCTAGATGATGTTCTGGATCCTCTCTGGTGCTCTGTTTGACAAGCATGTATGGAGCCTCCTGGCATTATCTCAGTGAAATACTGTACAGAGGAATAAAAGAGATCTTTTTGTAAAGATTTTATCTATTTATTTTTAGAGAGGCGGGAAGGAGGGAAAAACATAGGGAGAGAAACATCAATGTGAGAGAGAAACATCTATCAGTTACCCATTGTTCGTGCCCCAATAGGAGACTGAACCTGCAACCCAGGCAACCTGGAATTGAAAGGGTGAACTTTTGGTTTGCAAGATGATGCCCAACAAACTGAGCCACCATGGTCAGGGCTTTTTTTTTTTTCTTACACTTGGCATTTTCAAATGAAAAACATTTATCTTTAAAAAAGAATATGTTTGAGAAATGGAGGATATGAAACGTGAAATGGGAAGGTGAGCAAAAACACTGGTGATCTCAAGAATACATTTGAACGAACACTGACTATTTAAAACAATAACAAGGGTTTCATTTCTTGGAGTGGAACAAACCCAAAATTCAGTCTGAGCAAACTAGGTTAGGAGGAAGGAAACAGAGGTTGAAGCTTTCTAATGACTTTGTGCTGTTCATGAGGAGGGCAGACTTCTGGGGACAGTTGTACAGTTTGTTACTGCATGAAACAAAAGCAGAGGAGGGGAGGGGCTGATGTCCAGTCGGATGGCTAATTCTTGTGTCCAGGTGCAGGGCTGTGCAGGAAGGAGAGGGCACATTTTTCTTCACACAAAGGCAAAATCACGGCTACATCAGCTCAGAAAGGGCATGTTCTCTTAACTGGCAAAAATGTGCTAGAAGTAAACTCCTTTACAGGTTAACAATACTAATTGTCCTTGGATTTTACAAAAGTATGTTAAGTAGCTAGGCAATTGCCTGGAACATAGCCTCATAGTGTATAACTTCCTGACCACTTGAGGAGAAAAAAAAAAAAAACATGCTCTGTAAAACCCACTGGCATTCCGGGCAGAGCAAAACTGCCTATTCTGCTCCCATTTTTTTGAATTATATTTTATTGTTTATGCTCTTACACTTGTGCCAAGTTTTCCCCCTTTGTTGCCCTCTACTCAGCTACCCCCATCCCCTCAATTTCCACACTGTGTCCATGTCCATGGGTCCTTCATATATATTTTTGGCTACTCTATTCCCTATGCTATCTTCTACATCCCCACAACTATTCTGTAACTACCAAGTTGTACTTCTGAATCCCTTCACCTTTTTCACCCAGTCCTCCAGCCCCCTCCCACCTGGTAAGCATCAAAACGTTCCCTGTATCGATGAGTCTGTTTCTGTTCTGCTTGTTTGTTTTTTAGATTCAGTTGTTGATAGGTATGTATTTATTGCCATTTCATTGTTCATATTTTTCATCTTCTTCTTCTTAAAGATCTTTAACATTGCATATAGTTCTGATTTGGTGACAATGAACTCCTTTAGCTTTTTCTTGCCTGGGAGGCTCTTTATCTGTGCTTTAATTCTAAATGATAGCTTTGGGTAGAGTAATCTTGGTCATAGGTCCTTACTTTTCATAACTTTGAATATATCTTGTCAATCAATCCCTTCTAGTCCACACAGTTTCTTGTGATAAGTCAGCTGAGCTGACAGTCTTATGGAGGCAACTAACTGCTATTCTTGTTGCTGCTTATAAGATTCTCTGTCTTTAACCTTTAGCATTTTAATTATGATGTGTTTTGGGATCAGCCTCTTTGCATCCATCTTGTCTGGGACTACCTATATTTCCTGAACTTGTATGTCTATTTCCTTCACCAAGTTAGGGAAGTGTACTTTCATTATTTTTTTCAAGTAGGTTACCAATTTCTTGCTTTTTTTCTCTTCTCCTTCTAGCACCCCTGATGTCAATGTTGGTACACTTGAAGTTCTCCCCAAGACTCTTTATACAATCCTCATTTTTTAGATTGTTTTTTCTTCCTGCTGCTCCTATTGATTTTTTTTTCCTTCCTTATGTTCCAAATCACTGATTTCATTCTCAGCTTCATCCACTTGACTGTTGATTTCCTGTAAGTTGTTCTTTATTTCAATTAGTGTATCCTTCATTTTTGACTGGATGTTTTTTATGCTGTTGAGATCCTTACTAAGAACCTTGAGCATCCTTTTAACCAGTGTTTTGAACTCCGTATCTGATAGATTGCTTTTCTCCATTTTACTTAGTTCTTTTTCTAGAGTTTTGTTCTGTTGTTTCATTTGGGCCATGTTTCCTTTTCTCCTCATTTTGACTGCCTCCCTGTGTTTGTATCTATTAGGTAGAGCTACTACATCTCTGCTGGCTTGCTAGAGGGCTTAATGTAGTAGATGTCCTATACGGTCCAGTGGTACAGCTTCTCCTATTACCCAACCTGGGTACACAAGGTGTGCTCACTGTGTGGGCTGTGTATACCCTCCTGTTGTAGTTGAGCCTTAAATGCTATTGGCAAATCCAAGGTCAGTCACCGTGTGTGTTCTGTCCAGGGTCATGCAGCATTATGTACAAAGTGATATGCAGATGGCTGCTACTTGTGCTGGGCTTGCAGGTGCCCAGGAGAGGCCAAGCTGTGCACAAGACTGGCTGCTGCTAGTGCCATGCCTGGGGTAACTTTAGAGAGAGGTACAGGACTTGCTGAAGCTGGGTGCTGCTTTTTTAAGAGAATTTGGGGGAAATCTGGAGGACTGGCCAAGACAAGCTAGTCATATGGTAAAGTTACTAGAAACAGCTTGGGTGAGCCTGAAAGTGGGATGCGGCTGAACCTCCAGAATTACTAGAGTGAAGCAAACAGTGTGAGTTAGGTTGATGGGATCTCAGATATGGTGCCTGCCTGCTGACTTTGTGTGTGTGTGTGGGGGGGGGGGATGGTTCAGAAAAGGAACAATGGCCTTTGCCAGCACTTCTGTCTGGAAGAAAGCTTTTGCCCAGCTCTTGCCCTGATGCTGGACAATTCAGTTCTCCATCCATCTCTCTGTTACCTTTCAAACTTCTGCTCCCATGCTGGAGATCAGAGGGAGAGAGCCCAAGTAAGTCTGTGCATGGGCCCCTTAAAAGGAGCTACCTGAGACTCTAGCAGTTTGTCTGCCACAGCTTGAATCACTGCTGGTTTTTACAGCCAGAAGTTATGAACACTTACTTCCCTGCACTGAAACTCTGGGCTGGGGTCTTCGTGTGGGGCTGGGACCCCTCATTCCTGAGATATCCCTCCCAATTTTTACCCACCACATGTGGTTGTGGGAACAGCCTATTCCATGGTCTCCACCTCTCCTACCAATCTCAATGTGGTTTCTTTTTTATTTCCATATTTGTTGGTCTTCCATTCATCTCAATTCCTGACAGTTTTGAATGATGGTTGTTCTATACTTAACGTTGTAATTGTGATATGGTTGTGCAAGGAGGTAAGCTATTTTTACCTATGCCATCATCTTCTCCCACTTTTTGATGAAACCTTCTAAAAATGGGGAAAACAGGGACAAGTTTCTGGTGAGATGAAGATTTTAATGCCTGCTTACTAAACTTGCAGGGTTGTAGCAGCATCTCCTACCAATGTGGCTCAGTGTAAAGAGCCTAATGTGAGCAGATTCCCTTTTCAGGCAAAGTTTTACTTGGGATGGCTGATCATGGAAGAGTGCTACTTTCCTCATGAGCCCTCTGAACACAGGGGATTAGGCTAATGAGATATATGAAAATCTAAGGAAGAAAATATCTCAGTAAAGTTTCAATTACCCTTTGTCATCATGTGTATGTTTTAGCTTTTTTTTTCATGTTTAAGAAACATAGGTTATCTAGGAACCAAGTTGGTCATTTTCTTATTGTTGTTAAGGATCTTTCTGAATAATGTTTACAAGATAGATATACATGTACTACATTTTATGTTATTAATTTGTCCAAAATATGCATTATAAATATATTTCCAGTTTGTTATTTGACTTGCTAATTGTGCCTTTTCCACGCAAAAAAACTTATTTTCACACACTTGTTGACACTGATAAATACAAATTGGAAATGTAGTTTCATTATGTTAAGCTATAAAATAACTTCTAAAAGAGTGAGAAATGGGAATTGTACACATCAGTTGCTCTAGTGAACAAAATTAGGAAACACTTCACATTTCATTTTATACACTCTGGTGTCCTCTGAAATAAACTAATGTGTGTACAATACGTCTGTGAGTAAGTGAAAAAGATCAGATGAGCCAGGCCATGCAGGGGTCTGAATGCCAAGCAAACTCTTCTTCAGCTACAGAAGCCCACATTGCCTGGTGGATGGGTTTCTTGCACAGGCTCACAGGGGACAGCAGCTGGCTCCAGGACAGCCATCCCTCACAGGGAGGGGGACCAGAGTGGGTAAGATGCAGAGAGGAAGAGATAAGTCATTGGAGTCAGGACAAATGAGACCCATCCCATGAAGCTCTTGTCTTAATCTCCAGAATCTTATCTGCCAGTGCCCCTGGTGCAGGAAATTACAGGGGCTGTGCAGTTTCTTGATAAGCCTCTTCTGGTCTTCAGGGTTCACTCCTGCTCCTGCAGGCACCTCCTAATCAAAGGCTGGAAGAACATTCTCTGGTTTTTGGCACTCCCTGGGAGCTCTTCCTTGTCTATTCTCACCCTTGAACTTCAAGATGGCAGTAAGGTAAGAGTCAGCTCTGAACTATCTTCTTTCAGTTGCAGTTTTGTTTAGTCCCTCTGAGTCCACATGCTCAAGGTTGCACCTTGGGTGGGGGACACAGGGAGCCATGGGATCCATCTGTGAGAGTCCAGAGTCAGGTGCCCCTTCAGGGAAGTTTTGGGTGCTGGTAGTGTAGACTGTGGGCGATCCACACAGGGCCCACCAGGTCCCTTCTGCTCCATTGATGTTGTTTTCAACTAAATAGTTTTAATAACTTCAGGTTTCATAGATTAGCTTACTGTTCCAAGGTTTGTGAGGTTTTTTTCCATTGTTTTTTTATTCCTTCTATCTGGTTCATCGCAGGAGAATATACAGGGCACAACAAAATGAGGTTACTAAGAAGAGTGTGATAAAGGGACTGTGTATGAAGGTGTGAGCAGGGATAAGGGAAATCGATAAAGGGTGTGTAGGCCCCCAATATAAATCATACTTAAGAGCTGTAGTCCTTGCACATACTGAAGGTTAAAGGGAAAGACAAGTTAGCAGAACTCAGGGATGGCTGTGGCTATAGCTATGGGTGTCACCGTGACCATAAGAAAAGCCACCAGACAAGGACTATGGTTAGTCAGAATAACACCACCTTGGGCAACTGACAGCCTGGAGCTGAGAGCCAGGGAGTTACAACCCCAGTCACCCTCCTCTTGCCTTCCAATCACCTGTCAGCGTCTCCCTTTCCTGAGAGCAGCCAGGAGCCAGAGGGAAAGGGAGCCCAGTGGTGAGGGAAACAAGCCGGTCCTCCTATGATGCAGAGGAGGGTAGAGGAGATAGAAATGATATTTGATGGTAAAAGAAAAAATCCATCTCTTCTCTTGACCTCCTAACTCTTCGTTTTCCTTGGATTTCCTCTCTTCTTCTCCCTCTCACAGGGTGACTGCCTCAAGTTCTCACTATATCTCCTCAGTTTCTTTGTTTGACTCTTTGCACCTCTATTGGGTGTTACTTCTTTGGGATAATCTGACACTATCATCATAAATGTCTTAAGAATGCAATGTAGGTTTCACTTAACAAGGTGGGAGTACAATGTCATTGATAAGTATTTCACGTTTATGATTTTCACTGCTCTAAGAAGAAACCCATTGTGAGAGTGACGTAACCTGTGTAGGGCACATATAGCTGGACACACCACTGAACAGCAGTGCTTCCTGTCTTCTTCATGAAGATGACACACTCCACCACCTCCAACACCAAGAGGCCTGGCTACACCCACACCCCTCATAGTAAGAGGTTGTGTACGAGTTACAACCCTAAATCATGCTCTCCTTTATGGGGGATGGACATCTCAGTCACTGAGATAGCCCAGAGGTCACATCTAGGGCTCCCAGCTTCTAGCCCTTCACAGGAAATCTCAGTCCCAGGGCAGACGTGGTGCTGAGATCAGAGTCCTCTTGTCATCCACACACCCTGTGCAGGCCTTTCTCCTCCTGCTTCCTGCAGACACAACATGGCCTAGGGCTGTGCCTGGAGGTGTTTGGACCATAAACTATGCCCACTCAGTACAGGGTCTGTGTTGTAGTAGGAAGAGCCCCAACTCTAACAGTCAGAGAGAACTGGGTTCGAATACACCTTCTGGGCTCCAAGGCTGTAAAATCTTTGGTGACTTACTCACTACTACAAAGCTCCATCTCCCTCCTCTGTAGCACAGACAGTAGTTCCTCCCAGGAGCAGGGTGGCCATGAGACTCAGTGATCATGTACCAGGTGCTCAAGTCCTGTTTCTGTTCCAGTGGTACCAGTGGAGGGTTTCGGAGCTCAGAAACATCTGTCGCAGCCTGGGGGACCACACTAGAGCCCATGAATGAAAGTGACCACGCCTTAACTGAACTTCATTCAAAAGACCTGATTTGGTATGTGCCGATCTTCATCACTGCCCTGGTTGGGCTGGCAGGAAACGCCACTGTGCTCTGGCTCCTGGGCTTCTGTATGAGGAGGAACGCCTTCTCCATCTACATCCTCAACCTGGCGGCAGCTGACTTCATCTTACTCTTTTGCTCTATTTTGCATGCCCTGGAGACACTCATCAAGTTCTTCTATTCCATCTTCAAGTCCTTCCCAGACTTTTTTGTCACGGCATCCATCTTTGCCTACATTGCAGGCCTGAGCTTTCTCAGCGCCATTAGCACGGAGCGCTGCTTGTCCATCCTGTGGCCCATCTGGTACCGCTGCCGCCGCCCAAGACGCATGTCAACTGTCATGTGTGCCCTGCTCTGGGCCCTGTCCCTGCTGCTGAGCATCCTGGAAGGGAGCTACTGTGGCTTCCTGAATAGGGATTTACATCACTCTTGGTGTCCGGCATTTGATTTCATCATTGTTGCCTGGCTGATTTTGCTGTTTGTGATTCTCTCTGGGTCCAGCCTGGCCCTGTTGACCAAACTGCTGTGTGGCTCTTCACGGGTGCAGCTGACCAGGCTCTATGTGACGGTGGGGCTCACAGTGCTGGTCTTCCTCATCTGTGGCCTGCCCTTCGGCATCCACTGGTTTCTCTTAGTCTGGTTTCAAAAAGATATTGATGCTTTATTTCATCTTTACCTAGTTGTCTTTCTTTTGTCCTGTGTCAACAGCTGTGCCAACCCTGTCATTTACTTCTTTGTTGGCTCCTTTAGGCAGCGATGGTGGAAGCAACAAACCCTGAAGCTGGTTCTCCAGAGGGCTTTGCAGGACACCCCTGAGGTGGATGAACATGGAGGGAGCCTTCCTCAGGAACCCCTGGAAATGTCAGGGAGCAGTCTGGTGTCCTGATTCAGAGACTTGCTTTGTTCAGTTGATGTGACTTGGAAAATATGACTCTGTCCCTATCAGTTTGGAAGGTTTTCTTAACATGTTTGTCCTCTGGCCCTGGAATTAAAACAGTTAACATAATAGTCCTGCTCCTAAGGTTTAAGACAGACCCTTTATTGCAAACACTGAGAGCACAGTCTGAAGGACAGCCTCCCCCAGGGCCCTCTCCCTGTCCCCATGGAGCTTTTGCCAACTCTGTGCCCTCTTCTGTAGAATCCCACCCTCAGCACCAGAGGACAGCAGTGCAGGAAAGTCTAAATTTCTTTCATCATGGCACTTGATGGAAACTACAAGAATATTACATTTTGACAAGTTTCTCTGGTCACTCCCCTGTAATCTGTCTCTATAAATTAAACAAATGACAGTTCAATTGAGAACACATGCAGCAGTCTTCCTTGTTTCTGGCAGGCCTTAGACTACCTTTCTAGAATAATAAAAGTTGATTGAATAAACGAATTAATGAAGGAGCAAAAGATAATTTTCAAATCAGTCTGTGCTAACTCCTCATTTGCCATATGTGAACCACCAGCTTTAAGTTCATTGTTCTACCATTTTCAAACTTGGTAATATGAAGTTAACCTCTACAACTAGGTAAATCAGCATCAGGGCCTATTTAAGATGAGATATGTTGTCTACCTGTGTTTCCTTTACATACTCTCCATGAGAATCCCACATTCTCCTTCTTGTTCCAGCCCTTTGCCTTTGCTCCAACTCTCCCTCCCTGAGTGGGTGCTCTCTAATCCTTTGTGGCCGGTTTGCAGGGGGTATTGCTCAACTCCATGTTCTCTGAGGACAGGATCTATGCCAGATTTGCCTTTTATTCCAAAGAGCTCTCAGCATTTATTAATCTTACTACAGTAATTTTTAAGTCACATATTCTATAAATAAACATATAAGTTTAAATGTAGCATCTTCTAAAATCTTCCATTTTTGATAGAGGTGTAATTAAGAAAGGGTGATTGCACAGATTATGAGGTCTATGAACTTTGCCAGTGACTATATCCATGTGACCCAAACCCCAATCAAGATATTGTTTCTTCTCCTCTGAAAGTTCACTCAGTCCCTCCCAGTCACTCCTCCTGCCCAGAGACAGCATTTGTTCCTACTTCTGTCACCAAAAGTTCATTTGCTCAACCTTTCGCTTCATATGGTGAAGATGAAAAAATGTACTTTTTGTTCCTTCCTTCTTCACTCAGAATAGTATTTTGGGATTGACCCATGTCACTGCATGCACAGATCAGCAGTCTGTCCCTTTGTAAATATGAGTGCTATTTCATTGCATGTGTGCACCACAGGTTGTTCTTACACTGACAGACATACGGGTAGCATTCCATTCTGAGCTACTGTGAGCACAGCTGCTGTGAATGTACTTAATCCAGTCTGTTTTCTGGACATTCATTTCTGTTTCTTGGATAAATAGCCTGAAGGGAAATCATTGGGTCATACAAAGATGTATCATCAACTTTGAGAAATAGCCAAACTCTTTTCCAGAGCAGTTGTGCTATTTCACATCCTCACCACCAACATACACAAGTTCCAGCTGCCCCAGGAGCTCCCTCCAAACATGTATTGTCAGTCTGACTCACTCATTCGGATGCACCCAGAGTGGTATCTGCTTGTGGATGAGTGTGCATTTCCTAAATGACTAATGATTGAGCATCTTTTCATGAGCCTATCAGCTACTTTTATTTTTTGAAGTGTCTGTTTAAGTTTTTCCATTTTTACTGTGCTACCTTTTTTTATTTATTTGTAGGAGTTCTTATATATGCAGAATGAGTCCTTGGTTAGTTATCTGTATTATAAATATTGATCCAGTTGCTGGTTTGCCTATTCATTTTAATAGATTTTATACTTTTGTGTAATTTTGGATTTAAAGAAAAATTGCACAAAGAGGGTTTCTATACAATCTCTTACCCCATCCTCAATTTCCCACACAGTTTCCCTTATTACTAACATCTTCCATTAATGTGGCTCCTCCCTGGGTGGGTGCTCCATTTAAATGGATGCACTCATGTGGATACATTATTATAGACTGAAGTTTATACTTGCTATTAGCATTCCCTCTTTGTGTTGCATAGTTTGGTGGATTTGACAAATGTAAAATATCATGCATCTGCCATTATAATATCATATAAAACAATACTCTGTCCCAAAAATGAATTGAAAACATTGGTTTGTTTGTTTATTCATTTACTTACTTAAGTATTTATTTATGCATTCATACTTCTTGGTGTTCTTAAAGCTCCCTAGATCAGTAGTTTGGTGCTGGTCAATAAATCAGAAAATTCTCATTTCTTATTACTTCAGATATTTCTACTCTTCCTATTCTCTTTCTTCTTCCTGTGATATTCCCATTACATGTATGCAACACCTTTAGTTGCACACAAGCTCTTTATTATCCCAAGCTCTTGAACATTCTGTTCTGGTTTTTTTCAGTATTGAATTCCTTTTGCTTTTCAGTTGGCAAGTTTCTATTAACAAATCTTGAGGGTCATTCATCCTGCAAAGGCTGAGGGGGTTTCTCAAGGGGCACAATGTAGTACTGCCTCCCCTGGGGCATGCAGTAAACTAACAGTAGTTCAAGGGCAGTGAGACTATCCAAGAAGGAAATCCATTCACTAACCAGAAAGTATCTGCTAAACATGTGGGCAATTGCTGGCATGTTCTAAGATGTGAGGCACAAGAGAGAACCATTGTTTATGTTCCCACTCCCCTTGGACAGATGACTGGGGGCTCAGTGCAAACACTGTAGCCAAGCTGCAGGACGACCCCAGCATCCCCAAAGTCCCTGGCCCAAACCTGCTCTAGCCAGCCATGGTGCAAGGTTTGCCCAATACCCATGTGCTCTGGAACACCTCAGCCTGTGCCAACTCCAGTTCTAACTCTGTTCCACCAGAGCTCACTGAAGCCAGTTTGTCCTGCATCCACTCAGCTCCAGCCAGTTCTCCAACTACCTGCTCTGCTTGGGTGGTCCCAGAGCTACACACCTTAGGTCACCTGAGCCCAGGTACACTCCAGCTCCAGCTAAATAGGACTGGGACCGTACAGGGATACCTGAGCCCACACCCACCTCAGTTCCAGCTGCCTGCAAAAGCCACAGGCACACACATTCTGCACAGGGTTTGCTGCTACACAAAGCCACACTTTCAAAGACCAAGAGAGGTAGCTGCTCCATTAAAAAGAAATACAAAAAGTAAAACAAATTAGGACAGAAATGTGTTTCAAATGAAAAAAAAAACCCAGAAACTTCAAACAATTTCTAATGAAATGGAGATGAGTAATTCCTCTAAGAAAGACTCCCAATTTGGTTATAAACATGGTCACCAAACTCAAGTGAAGAATAGAGGAACACAATGAGTACTTTAAGAAAAAGATAGAAATATATAAGAAAGAACTAATCATACCTGAAGAATACAATAACTGAAATGAAAACTACACTATAGGGAATCAAAAGCAAATTTCAGGATACAGAAGAGCTGTATTAGGATTAATCATCTGGAAAAAAGAATAGTGGATATTGCCCTATCAGAATAGCAAAAATAATATTTAAAAGTGGGGATAGTTTAAAGGACTTCTGGGACTACATCCAGCATGCTATCACTCACATATAGGATTCCCAGAAGGAAAAGAAAGAGAAAGGGACAGAAAGTGAATTTGAGAAGTAATGGCTGAAACTTCCCCAAGTTCAGGAAGGAAAGAGACACCCAGGTCCAGAAAACACAGTCCCAAACAAGAGGAGCCCAAAGAGATCCAACCAAGTCATTTTATGATTAAAATGGCAAAAGATAAAGATAAGAAGTGATATTAAAGGCAACAAGAAAGAAGTCACATAAACGAGAAACCCCACAAGGCTATCAGCTGATTTTTCAACAGAAACTTTGCAGGGAGAAGGCAGTGGCAGGATGTATTTAAAGTGCTGAAGGAGTTCCGTCAAGGTGGAGGCATAGGTGGAGACGCCGTGCTTTCTCACACAACCAAGTTTAGAGACAACAAAATATTAGCAACAGAAAACACAACCAGAACACAGAAAATTGAACTTTTCGGAAGTCTGATAACAACGAATGCTTCAGCCTGACCTGTAAGAGGGGCAAAACCGGCAGCTGGCGGAGCAGGGTTGCACAGGAAAACTGGTCAGACAGACTCAGGAGCGTGGATCCCAGGAGTGGGGTTGCAAAGGGCAGACCCAGTGAGCGACCCAGTGAGCAACCCATGAATCTGGCGAGGGTGCCGGGTGGTGCGTTGACTGTGGTGGCTCATTCCTGAGAAGATAGACTGGCGAGGGAGTGGGCAGTGAGATGGGACCCAGCGGGCCCCAGCGGCAGGAGGCAGCAGAGAGGGCTGCCATTTCCCCACTCTGACCCCACCCCCCACATACAGCGTCACATACATCTTCATCTCTTAGCCAATTTGGCTAAAGCTTTGCTTTTAATTGCAATTATACTCTGCCTAGAGGGGCAAGGCCTAACTACTGAAAATAATTCCTCTCATATTTATTGGGTTCACATTATTGACCCACTGGTATTTAAGTTGCATACCTGGTAAAATGTTGAACCTCCCTTTTCTACTAATGACACTCAGTGGTCTGGAAGAGTATGGATGACCCTGATGGCCCATTAGAAGAAAACAAGCACTGGATGTCAGTGCCAAAAAAATACCATTTGTGTTGCTGAATACTTACCAGTTTGTTTTTCTGTTCTTACTGACACTTTGTGCTTACCTATAAAAGAAAAACTATGCTGCAAGCAAAGAGCAATACAGTGATTATTATCAGCTTTCCATGGTAACTATGGTCAGTTAGCCTGCATACCCAGGAGGGGATTTATCATACTCTCAATGCCCCTCTGGTTTCTCCTTGTACTTTAGACCCTAGCCATAAAGACTCAGTCTTTTGGTCTTTGTGCATAAAACCAAATGCCACCATTGCTTTTCTACCCAAAAGTTCTCTTGTAGTGGAGAACTGGGGAGCTAATTAGAAGGTACTGGCTAAGCTTGGCACAATAATAGTTTTGGCTCTGCCTCAATTCCCACATCCAGCAATACATTAAAAAGATCATACA